GTGAAAAATGAGTCTTAAGTGTGAAGGAATTGTGTTGAAATCAAATAAATTAATAATAACACATAATTTTCCTTATGGATTATGGAAACAATAATATATACACAAAGGAACTACAAAGTTAAAATTAAATTTGTTGATAAAATATCATAAATACCATGAGATAAAGAATCTCCAAAATGCCATTAGGTTCATTTTTTCTTGGCTATCTACTTCCATTTGTATACCAAATGATACACCACTGGACAAAAATGTTTTACTCGTGATCAATTCCAATTGGAGATGGCTTCTGGGTTATGGATGTGTGATTGTGCCCACTTCCCCTGTTGGAGCAAAGATTCTATTTGCCCCACACCCATGTAGGCCCTGTGACGCTGCCATGGTCTCAGTGAGTTCACGTGTGCATCCATCTTGCTGTATTTAAAAGGTCTTATTTCCTTGGTGTCCTTCATCTCCTCTGGCTCTTAAATTCTTTTTGCCTCCTCTTTCAAAGTATTCCCTAAGGCCTGAATGGAGTGATTTGGTGGAAAGAGAACATTAAGGGCTGACAGTTCTAAGATATCAGACTCTTTGAACACTGTCTAAATGTGAGTCTCTGTGTTCATTCCTCTTTGTTGCAAGAGGAAATTTCTCTGATGATGGCTTAGCAATGCATTGGTATATGAGTATAATAGAATACTCTTATGTGCCTGTTACGATAAATCTTTTTGCCAAAAGCCACCGAGCCCCATCGCCACGTGTATGCTTTACAAAAGCTGCCCGCCCGAGTTAGGCCCAAATAAATACAGAATGGTACCAGGAGTGGGGTGACTCCATGCCCCAAGGTTCCCAGAGAAAGAGTTAAACCTGCCACCACAGCCTGCCCTGTCGGGCCGCTGAGAGGCATTGGAGCAGCTTCCATATGCTCGCTCCATCCCGGCGCTCTCAGACATTGTACTCGTCACCTCTGAGATAATAAAGACAGATCCAGATAAAGAAAAACCTCAAAAGGTTTATACTACATTTAAAAATATATGTAGGCTTATGAGAAAAAAAGTAACAGGAGGAAATAGAATAACCGGTTGTGGTGGCCAACGCCGGTAGGATTTGCTAAAGGAAGCAGAGACAGGCGGATTTCCACAGGGAAACCCTGTCTCAGAAAAAAAAAAGGAAGTAAAAGTAGAATAGTAAAAAAGCCACCTACAGATTAAAAATACACAGAGAATCTGGATACTAAATGCCATATTGTTGTCTTTAAATTGTTTGATTGCCGAGTAAAGAATTACTGCTGCTAAAATACATTTGATTATAAATGCTGCTAAATTAATCCAACTTATACATTTTAAAAATGCTTTGACTTCAAAATTTAAGTTTAAGGACAGGCTTCTTAGAAATAAAGGTTTTGCTTGTATTTCCACAAAAAATCAAAAGCTGTTGATTCCTTCCAGACTAATATGGTTTAATCAAGCAAGACCCCCTAAAGCTGAGATGATACAGCCTTGCAGACTACAAAAACAAGGACTTGGTCAGGATTTTATGTTTTATCATGATCCCTATGGTATATAAACATCGTCCCCAATCAGCAGTTTAGAAAGAATGACGCCCATATTCCCAAATATTGTTTATAAATGTTTATTTCATTTAAATGGGGTTACTTATAATGATATAAGCACAGTCAATCTCTTTTTAAAGAAAGAAAAGGGGAATAGGATATAGGAATGAATACTTTGCATTAGTATAGATTTTCATTTATTGATACAACTGTAAGGTCACTTTTGTGATAATGTATGTCTCCTCTTGTTTAGGTATTGTGTTTATACAGATCTTTTACCTATAATAGTCAGAACTTATAATTAGGTTAGTTAGGTTTTCCAGATATATAGAGATATATTTGAGATGGATACGTATTCTTCAAACCTTTCAAAGACCTACAGAAATATGGCATTTAAATGGTTTAGGGCTTTTCTTGGCAG